TATATATTTCCTCCATTTAATCTCTGACGTTGTCCGTGTCATTCTGGAAGTCAAAAGAAGAAGCAGTTACAGAGTACACGTCATGTACCTTTCGGAGGGTTGTTTTTTTTTAAACTTTAAAATGGAGAACGCTAGATTACGCACCTGCGAACTTGCTATGTGCTCAGTAAGGGGTATCACCACAGGCAGTAATTCTATCATGCGTGTTTGTGAAACTTACGATGCTTAACAAAGTATTATCATATAAGTAATGTGTATTCTCTCTAATTAATCTCACCTCTCGATTCAGAAAATAGCATCATGAAGTGAAGCGGGCTTGTGCAGTGCCCATTTTCTTTTCATGGCTGAAATCTTGGACTTACTGTACCCTGTAAATGTTATTTTTTCCGATGAGTATCTTGGTCTGTCGAAAAAAAAAAGCTAAATATAACGAAGGCAGATTGAGTATACGTTAGGACTACTTTGGCTTTTCAGACCCAAAATTCTGTGTGACAGCCACGTACTCGCCTGTTAAGAGCTCCCTGTTATCTGGAAATCATCCACAAGAGATGATCTTCCAAAGAATACCTCTTCTAAATTTATGATGACTTGAAAGCTTTCAAAATTGATGAGAACTTCTATACCCTAATTCTAATCGTGAGATTGCGGGTTTCGGGTTTTTAAGATCAGCTTGATCCAACATTGTGTTCTTGGAAAAGGCACTTTACTCGAATTTTCACATGTACCTGACCTCTGTTCTATCGATGTTGGATGTTATATTCGGAGGTCATGCCTCTTATGTAACCTTAAAGGGTTGCAAGGGGCGATGAACCTATAAAATTTCGCACATTTTGTGACGTTATCTCACAGGGGAGACCATCCGAGTCCTAAACTTGCCCTATGTCTAATGTTTAAGATAATCTGCCCTCAATTGCAAGACAATTGATCCATTTACCTTCCTTAATGTATATATCATCCCCCTCCCCCATGGATACCATTTGTACCAGTTAGGAGGCGGGCTTCTACCCAGCCTGTCAGGACCCACTTTTGCAACGTCCCAACAAAGAGACCTCTAAACTCGAAGAAAATTCTCTCCAAAATGTGAATCGAACTCTGGCCATCTGCGTGCAGTGGTGAAGTGAAGCCATTAACCGCTGCATCACAGACGCCGGTGATCCGATTACCTCTTCCATTAGGAAGAAAGCTGTGTGCTTAGGATGATTCCATGACCATTTGTGACCAGCTGGAATCATTATGGTGGACTCCGTTCGTTTGTACCATTTGCTTTACGGAGCACATCGACTCCATTCTCTGAGTTCAGTCGGAGATATTCACACCAAATAACCTTGTTTCTTTCTTCTCTAATGTACTGGGTCTTTGTCACTGTTCTCGTGTTCTGACAACTAGGACGACTAATAGCTTGAGAAAAATGACTAATTTTCTTTTTTATCGAGGCAATAGTAACTAGAGGCTGACTGGTACTAGATACTCACGTACCCCGGTAATTTTAGTCGGGTTAAGTGATGACAGGAAGTCTATACCGTGCACTCTTTTTCATACACATTAATGACTATTTTGTCTAAGGAGAGCAGTACTACATTGTTAACAAAACCGAGATTATCGTATATTTACGAGCAAAAAGAATGGCACCCATTTTAAAACATTGTTCAGCATAAAAATGTCATAAAAATGTGCCCTCTTTTGTCGGGTACACGTTCTTGGTTTGTTGATGCATTAATTTGTCCTTTCGTTGCTCTCCGTGGTTTTGTTTTGGGGTTGTTGTTTTTTGTTTTTGTTTGTTTGTTGTTTTTTTAGGGGGGGTTCTGTTTCCGCTAATCATTTCCCATATTTCCTTTTTTTGCCATTATTTTTGTTGATCATTTCTTTATCCCATTTTTTCTTAGTTTTGACAACACTAATATCTCAATGAAATGTCCAACGATTTCTCCCCAGCAGGTAAGGCGGTGGACGATGCCTATGTCCGAACTAAGGGAAATCGTGGTAACAGTCGGCCAAGTGTTGTTGTTGTTGCTGCTGCTGCTGCTGCTGGTCCCCGAGTCTCCCGCCCAGTCCCTGCCCTACCGCCACACGAGCGTCGTGCCGTGGCCAGAGAGGAGCACGTTCACAGACAGCCACATACTGCTCAAGGACTCGGAGCAGGACAAGTACCTCTTCAGAGGCGTACCCACCAA